GATAGGACAATATTTGGTCGAGATACAACTATTTGAAAATCTGGAATCTGAGGGTGCAAAAAAAATCTAAATATTGAGAAAATCACCTTTAAAGTTGTTCCAAATGAAGTTCTTAGCTATGCATATTACTAATCAAAAGTTAAGTTTTGATATATTTACAGTAGGAAATTTACAAAATATCTTCATGGAACATGATCTTTACTTAATATCCTAATGATTTTTGGCATAAAAGAAAAAGGGATAATTTTGACCCATACAATGTATTGTTGGCTATTGCTACAAATATATCCCAGCGACTTAAGACTGCTTTTGTGCTCCAGGGTCACATATCAGAGATTAAAATTAACAACAAAACTATTATATTCAGTGCTATTTATTTTCAGATAATATATCAATTGCATTCAAATAAAATCTTTTGTATACAACTCCGTTGCATGTAAGGTAGTTTTCATAAAAACATCTTTATTCAAACGTACATAAATAATGAATGATTTATGATGCACATGACTTGTGTTTGACTGCGTTAGTGTCTGTGTTTCAGGTATGACATCCGTATCTACCCAACCTTCCTGCACCTGCACGGGAAGACGTTTGACTATAAGATCCCCTACACCACCGTCCTGCGGCTCTTCCTGCTGCCGCACAAGGACCAGAGGCAGATGTTCTTTGTGGTGAGTTTTGTGTGATTCACACCAACAAAGACAAACTACACCTAATGCTTCCTGTGTTTACATGCACTCAAATGATCGTTTAGAATTGGTTTGATGGCTCAGTCAGACTGAAAACTTGAAAATCATGTCAATCAGTGCTGTGTAGACCTAAAATAATCATATTACCAGGAACAAATTAAGCTTTAAAGCATCTAAATGCTTGTATAAACAGTCTTTGAGAGTCCAAAAGCACTAACTGTGTTATGAACCATATTAGAAAACGGTTAAAATGACCGTATAATTCAAGTTACGAAAGCTAACAGTAAGACTTCTTATAGCACTTGCATATCTTTGCTCTTTTGTTGATTTTGATTGCTTCCATTGTCCTCATTTGTAAGTTGCTTTGGATAAAAGCATCTACTAAATGTAAAAAAAAATGTAAAAATTTTTATTTTTAAGATATGATATAGTTATGTAATATCACACTAGCTGTTTTCCTAAACATTAGCCTGTGAGCACAATCGCAAATATGTTATTACATTTATACAGAAGTTCAACTAACAAGAAGTTAATATCGAGTGAGTTACATTTTTGCACACAATATTGCCTGTTTTTTTCTGTTTCATTAATGAAAATAGTTCTGATCAAAGTCGGAGCTGGACATTTGTGCGTCTCGGAGCAACACTGTTTCATTCCTGAATGAATCTGTTTTTGAACAAACCATTTGACTCAATGATTCAGTGATCCATTCATAAAGACAGTCACTTTCTCTGTTTCTAAAGGCCTCAACCAGCTAAGGACAAAAACCCATTTAGCAAAACAGTTTAATTATCATTATAGAAAAAAAAATCCCAATATCGAGACTAATATTTTTTTTTTCAATATCACACACCCATCTGATCTTCAAGTCGAACACACCTCTTTACTCTCGTGTGTCACGTGACCGTGTAATCGCAGCCTCTGCGATTGAAAAATCGCGTTTTTTCATATCGCGATATTATCGCAAATGCAATTAATCGTTCAGCCCTACCCCTAATGCGTATAAACAGAATTGGATTTATTTGTATTGATAAAAATGAGTGCATGTAAACATGCCTGTTGTGTCCCATGCTCAATAATGCATTGGTGTGCTGCCTCCTGCTGGTTAAAACGCAGAATCTCAGGTTTTATTCAGTAAATCTTTACAGATGATTTGTGACCCTGGAGCACAAAAGCAGTCATAAGTCGCACAGGTATATTTGTAGCAATAGCCAACAATACATTGTTATTTATTGCCAGAAATCATTAGGATATTAAGTAAAGATCATGTTCCGCGATTTTCTCAATATTTAAATTTTTTTGCACCCTCAGATTCCAGATTTTCAAATAGTTGTATCTCGGCCAAATATTGTTATATCCTAACAAACCATACATCAATGGAAAGCTGATTTATTCAGCTTTCAGATGCATGAAAAATTGCATAAATCTCAATTTCCCAAAATTGACCCTTATGTCTGGTTTTGTGGTCCAGGGTCACATTTATAAAAATGCTGCTTTGTGGTTCTTGATCAAGTCTGAATGCTTTTGTTTTCCAGATCAGTCTCGACCCGCCCATTAAACAGGGTCAGACGCGCTATCATTTCCTCATCCTCCTCTTCTCCAAAGATGAAGAGCTCAGTCTTGCTCTGAACATGAGCGAGTGAGTACGCTGGGCTTTCTCTGTCTGTCCGAGGTTCACCACCGCTAGCTCTGCTGACTGGATCTGTCTCTGTCCTCTCTAGGGACGAGGTGGAGAAGCGTTATGAAGGCAAGCTCAGTAAGAACATGTCCGGGCCGCTCTATGAGATCGTCAGCAGGGTCATGAAGGCTCTGGTCAACAGGAAGATCACGGTGCCCGGAAACTTCCAGGGGTAAAGCACACAAACAGATGCACTTATAAAGATATTAAACTCAACTTTTTATGTTTCTCATTAGGGGTGGATGATATACTAGCAATATTTCTATTGTGGATGAGCAAAGCACAGCTGGATGGTAGCAGTTAGCCGTTACAATCAGTTTACGTTTAGAGAGAAAATGAGGAATAACCTGTTCAGAAAGGTCCTTTCTCAATGATTTGGTCTTTGTCATATAATAGTTTTTCTTTTTTTTATATAAAAATTAAAAGAAAGAATTATATTTAACGTTTTTATTCCTAGGGGTGTGTGATATTGATCCAATTTTTTTGTTGTCGTTTTTTTCTTCGATAACAATAATTGCACAATATTTTGTGTTTTTGTGCTGGTACTTTGGCTGGTTTGGGCCTGTCGTTGATAAATATGACACTTAAGCCGCCAGTAGGTGGCAGCAAGTCCCTGTCTTAATGAGTGATTCACTTAAATCATTCATTCAAATGATTCGTTCAAAGCAGATGATTCATTCAGAAACAAAGCAAGTCTTTATAAATGGATCATTGAATCACTGACTCAAATGATTTGTTCAAAAGCAAATTAATTCAGGAATGAAACATCGTAGTGTTGATTGTGCTGATATTCAGGAAAACAGCACTGTTACTTGTGTGATATTAAGTATATCATATCTTATAAATATATTAAAAAAAAACATACCAGGGATATTTTTTGCTTTCATAACTTGAATTATAGGGTCATTTTAACAGCATTCTACTGTATGTGATGGGCTTCATCATGCAGCGAATACTTTTGGACTCCAGATTTGTTTTTTGATGTTTGTTTGACTCAGTGTCAGCTCACATATCGTTAAAACAACAATTACTATATTATCACAGACAATAAATATCGCACACCCCTACAGTCCTTACATTATTTAATATCTTAAACGCACTGTTAAAAATATTACATACATATTCCTCCTATATTGACCACTTTAAATCCATATTGCTCGCCGTTGACTGTTTTACTAAAGCCGCCCGCTGGCGGTGAGCCCGGGTGCGAGGGCCCGTTCATCGCTGCTTGCAGCTTTAATTAATTTTCTATTCCCTCCCTTGCATGCTTTCTCTTACTCGTTCTGACCTGACTGTTAGTGATCACGTTTAGTTCCAAGTGTTGTGTGAGCTCAAATTGAATAGATTGTTATGAGTTTTTCTCTCAAGTCGTGTTCATGTAATCTGAAACTGGTATTAACTAAATAAACACTCCATTCTGTTGACGGATCTGCGCTGATGGGAATAAGCAGGAAGAGCGTTTGATCCAGACTCGGTGTGTGTTTATACTGATGGCGACACACTTTCACTGAACCTCCTGTGGACAGCAGCCGCATACACAGTCATGTGTTACATTGACATTATTTATTGTGTGTGCTAGGGCATGAAAGGTGCAGACGGCTACAGCGACTCTGATGAAGACCAGCATGACGCTTACCTGGAGAGAATGAAAGAAGAGGGCAAGATCAGAGAGGAGGGAGACGGCAGCGACGAATCCGAGGGCGATAGCGGTACTGACACACCTCAAACGAAATATATAGGGCGCTTTCCACTTTATTTAATTGAAAAAAATTAACCGGGTCATATTTGCATATTAAAAAGCATGTAAACTCTAAGAATAACAGGGGTAATTTGGGGTAAAACTGTATAAACACTCATATCAAATAATCTGGAACAGACAGTAAAATGCGTTTACTCACACTTATGTGTTACATTACTGTTGCATGTATTACATGCGTGAATCAGGGGGCGTGGCTAGAGGCAGTGATGTAGAAGTAGGCGGGGCTTCGCTGCACTATGACATCATAATGTGACAAATTCCAGAACGAGTCGTTTGGCGGCTGGGTTTCAATAAAAGCTGTTTTTGAACGAACAAGAACGTTTTGAGAACTTAGAGGATGTGTTTATAGTTCATTGACCTGTTATGTGTCAAAAGATCAAGGGGATTTTGATTTCTCAGTTCATGACCCCTTTAAGGAGGTGCTTATTAACCTTTCACAAAATGTTGCACGTCAACCTCAGGAAGTAAAACTAAATATTACATGAGCATTTTATTTTTTGAAATGTATTTTTTATTTTTGGAGGCAATACATTATTACCAGAATGTGTTAAAATATGGTTTACAGCATTCTGACAATAAAATTAAACATCAACATTAAAAAGAAAATGAATAAAATAAAAACTGGATAGATGAAAGGTTTGCAAATTTAGTCTGAATTAAACCATATTTCAGCAGGTGCTAAATCTTAGGTGTCAGTTTAATTCCACTAAATTTAAACAAATTTATATTTATGTGCAATTTAAATTTTTAGGATTGCGTTAAATATTAATGAAATATTATATTTGAAAATTAATTTAAAAAACATTACAATACACTGTTCAATAGATTGTCAATTATGTATAATAAATATGTTATATATATTATATATTACACACACACACACACACATATATATATATATATATATATATATATATATAATAGAGATATAAAGCATGCTTTTTCTACAAATGATCAAAGCTAGCTTTATGTTAGGTGACTGTATGTTAGGACTTGTGCCTCTAATGCTTTTCAGTAAAACCCACGACTGTGTTAGTGGATTGTGCTGAATTCTGTGGTTAATATTGTTTATCTTCCTGTAGACGAGTCTTTCAACCCTGGAGAAGAGGATGACGACGTCCCAGAAGAGTAAGTGATTTAAACCTTTCTTTTTCCCTTGATGCTTAAGACGGTTTGTCAGTCTTTCAGTCTGATAATGTAATGTTGTTTCTCTGCAGGTATGACAGTAACGCTTCGGAGAGCGACAGTGAGGCAGACGATGGAGACAGCGAGGAAGAAAGCAAGAAGAAAAAACCTGAAAAGAAGCCCAAGAAAGTGGTGAAGGAGAAGAAAGAGAGGAAACCACGGAAAGAGGTAATATACATATCGATATGTGACCACGGATCACAAAACCAGTCATATAGGTTCACCATATTAGGAACTACAGTCTATTTGATTAAGTATGACGTCTTGTCGCAATTTTGCGACTTTGGCGCTAAGAGGGTTAATACACGAGTTTCACAATTTGAGTTGAATTACTGAAATAAATGAAATTTTCCACGACATTCTAATTTATTGAGATGCACCTGTATGTCAGAAATGAAAGGCTTTAGAGAGTTTAACAACATCTGTTCAACAGTTCAGAAAATAAAGCCAGACATGACCCCCATTACCAGACGTTATTGACCCTCTCCTCCTCTCTCTCTGTGGACAACAGAAGAAGGTGAAGGACCCCGGGGCTCCGAAGAGGCCGATGAGCGCTTACATGCTGTGGCTGAACGCCAGCCGAGAGCGAATCAAGAGTGAGAATCCTGGGATATCAGTCACTGAAATCTCCAAGAAGGCTGGAGAAATGTGGAAACAGCTGAGCAAAGACCGCAAAGAGGTGAATGAAAATCTCTCACACACACAACAGTAACCAGAAAGTCTTCACAGCCTCATTAACTCTTTCCCCGCCAGAAAAGTTGCCAGCCACCTCCAGCATTTTTGATCATTTTTACAGAATTTCATGGTGTCCAGAATATTTTGTTGTGTGAATATGTGAACATGCAATATGTCAAAAAGAACAGCGCTTCTGTTCTTAAACAAAAAAACCTGTTTCACTCTAGCTTAATGCATTATTTTATAATTTTTTATATTATTTATATTTTTTGATTAACACTTGAATGTGGGATTTTTTTTCATAAAAAACACTTTGAACAATTTTTTTTAATGTGATTTAAAGGCCTGGTTTCACGGACAGGGCTTAGACTAAGCCAGGATTAGGCCATAGTTCAATTTAGTGGTCGACCGATATTGTTTTTTTTTTTTTTTTACGGCCGATGCCGATATCTTTGAAAGCAGGGTGGCCGATATAATTGTAATTATTTTAATTAATATTTAAAAATTGGAAATCATTTGAAAATGGATAAAAAAAATTAATTTATAAAAATAAACATACTTATACTTTAGATGACAAAGTATTTTCCACAAATAAATAAATATTTAATAAAAAACATAATTAAAAAGGAAGTAAACTGTAACCAACAGAGCACTCAGTATTCTGGGAAGTTTGTGTGCATTGGGAATCATATTTTTTCAAATAAAGCCAAGGTAACACTCATTTTACATACAGCACACAGTGAAAATGACATGAATATGACAGTGCAAATGCATAAAG